TATGGGCAAAATAGAATCCCAAGGAGTGAAAGATATATTGTTTATTTTGTAATACTATGGATTTGGAAGATGAATACCATTTTGTTTTGATATGCCCATGCTATGTAGACATAAGGAAAAAATATGTGAAACAATATTATTACAAAAGACCATCTATGTGTAAATTTATTGAGCTGATTTCTTCTAATAATAAAATTATACTAATGAATCTAGCTAAATATCTGAGAGAATCGATTAAAATCAGGAACACTTTTGTTAGTACTAACACTTAAATTCTATATTTGTTACAAATTTATACTCAAATTTCAATTGATTTGTTGTATTAAATATGTTTATACTCTGCTTAGGAAATTATATTACAAGTGATGATAATAACCTCTTAATTTTTAATCCAGAATTGTTCATTCTCCAACTTTACATGGAATTCAATATTATATATTAAATCCTTTATTGTTTGTTAATATATAAAATAGAAACGTGACATATTTACAATGTGTGTATTTATATTGCAGTGATGATGTACTATGTACAAATCCTAAATAAAATTATGTTCTGTTCTGTTCTGTTCTAAAATCCTTCTTTATTTAACTTGTCTGCAAAATCCCTCTATGTTTAACTTGTCTGCAAAGTCGTCTGCAAAGTATACCGACCCTAATATCAGGTAAGTCACAGAACAAAGAAACTTCAGAAATCTCACCAGATGGCACTAAATATCTCACAGAAATTCTGTTGGCTTCAATAAGGTGATCAAGGGAAACATCCTGCCTAGGTACAGACACAGTAACCTCAGATCCAGGTGTGGATGAAGCTATAATTCCCATACCATGAAACGTTCCACGTCCATCTATTGTATCAGTGTTATGGTCGACGTTGTCCGCTACAAATTGTAAAAATGGATCATCTGATTCCTGGCAAGGAATTTTGTTAGACAAAGCGGCAGCAGCATTAGCTTCGTACTTTTGGACTTCAGAATAGGAACAACAAAAGCCAAGGCTGTTGAGATGATCAATTAGAAATCTGGAGCCGAAATGATGATGCAGCTGTACTCCAAGACCAAGCTGTAGCGGGGCAATCACACTTCTAGCTCGACATGTCTGAACAATGCTCTGACCTATATCGGCAACCTTTACATTATTTTGCTGGCCAAAAATAGCTTTCATAAACAATTGGAGACTCTCTGGTAAAAAAGAAACGTTATTCTCTGCTGAAGAAACATCATTAAAACTTGGGTAGTAATCTCTTGATGTTTTCATTGAATTAATATCGGCTTTAAGCAATTTTCCAGCAGTTTCTAAAATTCTTATTTTTTTTTCTTCATCACTCTGTCCTTGTAAATCTTCATAAAATGAATGGATTATCGCAGATGCGTTAGACTTCAAGGAAACAATGTCATTCTTGCCATCAATACTACTTATTATCACCTCATTACCAAAGTGTTCAATGATTTTCTTCTTCATGTGTTTTGTACTGTATGCCTTTTCTCCACATACATTAGTCATTTCAGACACTAAGTCACTTACTGTGAGAGTTTCATTTGTTGCACCTTCAAGAAATAACATTACCTTTTCAAAAGCATCTTTCTGTTCTTTTTGTTCTGGACGACCTGGACTTCTTAATGCAGCTTTGTCACAATTTCCCGTCTGGTATGCCTTCGGAATACTCTTTCCTGTCCTAAAGTTAACATTACACTGCTGGTGGTATACAGCATCAGCTGCAGGTAAGTCAAAAACATGAGAGAGACGAAGTTTAATATCATGCGCCCACTGATCATCCCTATCTATACATTTTTTAATAATAGTGCTTTGAAATTCTAAACTTCTTACAGGATATGCATCAAAAGATCTTTTCTTAATTTCAATTTACCACATTTAGCAAATGTACCACAAAATAAACATCTTGATTTAAAATCAAAGTTTGGAGCAACAGAACGCAAATGTTTATCATTTCTATCAACATATTTATCATCTGAATGTTTGTCAGATAATGTTCTAGTAAAGTTTTTGCGACACAAAACATGAACATAGTCTCCTGGATTTATTATGACTTTTACTGAGTGATTTTCACAAGCGGCTCTAATCCCTTGGCATCCTTTTTCTCCAACTCGGACGGAAGATTTGCTGTCATCAATGGGCTCTTGGCAAATTTGGCAAAGTTTACACAGGAACTGTGTCTCCATCTGGAACAAAATATCATTTCATCTTTATGGAAATCTTTATGGAGGTTCAATAGATTACAAAAAAAACTAACTGATGTGTTAAGATGCAATGTGATTCTATTATATAAATTTCAAAGAAACTTATTTATCATCAAATTTATTTATTTACTTATTTATTTTTTTATACATACATAAATAAATTGTATTTATTGGATTATCTCATTGCTATAATTTATGCTTTTTCAAATTCTTACCTTTTTCTGGCAGTTTGTAGGGTACACAAAGAATATGTTTTCAGTTTCCTCAACAGTCTCTAGAAGAACGGACTTGAAACTAAACTGGAAACAGTTCAAAATAATAGTTATGAAATAATTAGATACAGGAACAACATTTAATGTGTTACATATAAATGGTAGTAATTCTAAATTTGTCATATTTATGGAATTGATAAACATTTCTAGGTTAATTGATAAACATATACGAATTAATGCATTTGAAATGCTGTAGAGCTCTGATTATTTGCTGATGATTTTTTTTTCAAAATTTTCTTCTTAATATAATACCTCATTAGCAATCTATTAGTATTATTCAGCTACATGTTGTTGGAGAAGAAGATCAACACTCTACAGTTTGTTGTTGAAGACCGGGTATCGTCTCTGTTAGTACCTTTAAGAGAAATAATAATTCAGTGAATATTTTAACTAAACATCCAAAAAATAACATTCCATTTTATTTCAAAAGATATAGACAACAGTACTTTTTTATCAAAGTTTAAATTAATTATCTTAATATAATACCTCATTAGCAATCTATTAGTATTATTCAGCTACATGCTGTTGGAGAAGAAGATCAACAATCTACAGTTTGTTGTTGAAGACCGGATAACGTCTCTGTTAGTACCTTTAAGAGAAATAATAATTCAGTGAATATAATAACTAAGCATCCATAAAATAATATTCCAGTTTTATTTCAGAAGATATATAGTCAACAGTACTTTTTTTATCAAAGTTTAAATTAATTATCTTAATATAATACCTCATTAGCAATCTATAAGTATTATTCAGCTACATGTTGTTGGAGTAGAAGATCAACAATCTGAAGACCGGGTATCGTCTCTGTTAGTACCTTTAAGAGAAATAATAATTCAGTGAATATTTTAACTAAACATCCAAATAACAAGATAACAGAACTATTTTATATAATCAGATACTAAGACAACAGTACTACTGTTTTATTAAAGTTTAATTAAGTTATAACATAATAATATTGATATATAATATTGAGAGAAAAACGTAACAGTAAGTTTCCTTCTCAAATACAGTTTAAAGACTTCATAAGTGTTTGTTTATAGTGTAATCTCATAATTTATTACGAGATTAAAAAGCTATGATTTCGCCGTTTTTATAGTTGTTAGTCAAGCATGAATCCAGAGTGGAAGTGGCAATAAAGGCTTAAAATCAATAAAGAAATCCTGTTAAATAATTTTTATGTTCAAAAACATGCTTTTACTTTACTTAAAACGAAAGATAAATCGAAATAAAAAATAATTATAATTAAACAATTGTCTAATTTATGTCCCATATGCGCTTCCGTAGGAAAAAAATCGTTAGCATCCGATGTTATACATCATCAACTTATTTCTTTTTTTCGTACAAATAATTAAGAAAAGGCAAAAAGAAAACAATGAAAATAGTCAGGAATATAACCCTACGTGTATTTTGCATGTAATAATGAAGCCTTTAAATAATTTATATTAGATTTTTTTACAATGACACAAGCAGGTTCAATTCGCCGATGCCTTTATGTTTTAAATGTTTTTGTTTAAATATTGATAAAATAACAATTAAAACGTATCCAGTTTAATAAAAGTCGATCTAGTTTTTATGTAAAAGCACTGCATCTTACCTGAAAACGTTCAGAACTTTTAGATCGAGGATTGTAGCAGCCGTTAAAATTTCAATATGGGCGCCGCCATAACTAATTCTGTGACGTCACGGACTTGTGCGCGAGAATTCTTCTGGTATGGTAGCGCAGTAAAGCCAAGTGTCAAAATGACAAAAAAACGCTATATTTAACAACCTATATCTTTTTTATTGCTTTCGCAAAATTTCGGGACTTTTTATGATAAACACTTCAGATTATGTTCTTTCGTGAGATGTTGCTAAAAATTCTTTTGCAATTAGTTCTAGGTTAATCTTTTCATTGACTGGCCTACTTATTTCGTTTTGGATATTGCCTCTAAGCAATTTAAAGAAAAAGTTATTTAATAGTTCTTGGGAGGAGGTATTCGAATGTACAGTCGTACACGTTTCCAAAGTTGGCGAATGTAGTGTGGTTTAAAGCAGGGTAGATCATGACATACTTTTTTTTCGTTTTGAGACAGATTTGATTTTCAAGATTTTTCAAGATTTATTCAATACTGACATGGTTCATTAGAACATGTGACATAACTAAAATAAAAATTGTGAACATATAACAACCGAACATAGAAAAATATACACACAAATAAACGAAATCTAATGCTTCATTAACAAAATTTCAAGGAGAATACTGTAAACAAGTGTTCGCCAAGAATTACGTTCTTGTCATTTTATTTCTTTGGGTTGTATTGTTAACAATATGGCAGCGCCCATGTGAACGTGATGATTTTACAAAGAACATCTTTAAATTTACGTAATATTCCAACATTACACGTCACAAGAATGTCTTCTGAGAGTATAAATGTAAAACAACGGAAGAAAGACTACGAGGAGGGAATATCCCTCCGAGCACAGAGAAGGGTAACTATTTTTTTGAATAGTGTTTTCGGATATGAATTAATTCGGATATAACTTAATATGAAAAAGGCAAAGCCTCGAAGCGAGATCGATTTTCTTTTACCGTAAGATAGTTTAAAATAATCGTTCATTTTTATTTTACATTTTCCGTTTTAAAATTGTCATTCTATTTTATACACTGCTTCCGTTTATTCTGGTTCGCCCTTTCGATTTTGGTTCCTATATAAGTGCGCATGACACCAGTCTACGCTTCCGTTTTCAATCATAGTACATCGGCTTTTATTGTTATCTTGTAATTCGAAAAGTTGGGATGTTTCCAATTCGGTACTTTGGACGAAAGTTTTCAAAACCATCACTTAGCAGGACACTCGCGTTACCCTGGGATATTGTATGTCCCAGCGTTACTGTAAAGCTCGCCAGCTCGTCGAGCTCGTTATAACACATACATGCCATAACGTCCCGGATGCCCGGGACAGTCCCGGAAATAAGGTGTCTGTCCCGGAGGTGTCCTGGAGATGATTTATGTCCCAGTAAAAAAAAACTAAAATAATCTACTTTGAAGCAAGAAATTTTACATTTTTATATAATTTTATTGTCAAGTTTTTATAAACTAGTCTAGAACGCTAAAATGAACGATTATCCCCATAATGCAACGGTGACACTAATCCTTTGATTGGTATATCTACGTGCCTCTTCCAACAAACAATTATCGGCAATCATTTTGATCAATTAAAAGATTAATTGTTTATCCCCTGTGGCTCCCTTAGTGAAGGTGTCATAACACTGTAATTGACAACTGGCCAGTATAAATTTAATCCGCCTGGAGGCAGTTATTAGTGGTCAAACACCGTTAAAATTACCTCTAAATTATGAGGTGATGTAATCCATAAGATTCAGCGAATGTTTCAGGTAAACGACATGGCTAATTGTCATTACTTAACATTGCTTAATTCTATTCTGTGACTGATTGAATTAACGATGCCTTAATACTTAAAAAAGATAGAAAAACTATAAATAATTATTGACATTCTGTCTTTTGTTTATGGTGTCATTAAATTTGCAAGTTGTACTGGTAATAAAGGTTGAATGCCACTATGTAAATTTAAAAAAAATACGTTTGCTGATCAGTGCCCCATCTCCAAATGAAAAGTGTCCCGGAAAAGAGTGTAAAAATTATGGCATGTATGTATAACAAGAAAGTCTTGCTCCTATGGCCGGTAAAGCGGCTTGTTAAAAAATCTTATCATGAAGCCTTAATTTCAAATTATGTGCATTATGTTATGAAAATGACATGTTTTCTAAGACATTGAAATCTTACAGTTGCCTCCCCCACCAGCACTCCAAAAACAAGAGTAATCATAAATTGGTAAAAGCATGAGCCATAACAAAATGTCAATTTCCTACAAGAAAAACAAGGTTTATATTTGAATGTTATTTATTTTTATTTTTTTATCTCTTTTCAAATATATCTACTTGATATTAGAGACTTATTTTATCAAAATTACTTTGTCATTACTATTCAGCCTTACATGATACTTGTAATGTTTGTACCCATTTATACTCATATCAATGACTTACTTAAGAGATACAATATCTATAATGATAGATTTGTCAAAACTTTTAGAGTAGAAAGGTTCATTAAAGAAGAATGAGTTAATAGTGAAACAAATATTGAACAAAAAATTAATATAATTTATATAACATTCTGTGTGTAAACTCCTTTTTCTCTAGCACTTTTAAAGTGTATCTTTCAAGGTTATTCTGATATAATAGCAATTATTTCTATACTTGCTTTACTATTTAAAACTTTTCAAGTCGGCAAATATTTTATGATCACGATCATTTTTTCTTTTCATTGTTTGTAAAAGTACAGAAAACCACATGTATACATTGTACAATTATCTCCCACAAGTGTAAATAAACATTGACATTCTTACCATATGTAATTGTTCTATATATTGCTTGGCTTAAAAATATTGCATTTTTGTACACTGTTTACAAGTACTTACCAGCTTAATGCAGTCCATTTCCATCATGGAGATAGGCAGACTCATATGAAAATACAATGTACATGTACAAGCTAATAAGTAAATTTGTATATTTCAGAAACGAGCATTTGTTTTATACAGCAAGCAACATAAAGATGATAAAGTATGGAAAACCTCTGCGGACTTGGAACGTGAAACCTCATACTATATAGAAAATGGTAGAATGATAATATTCTGTGTTTGCCAATAAATAAATTAAATTTTCATGAGTAAAACATTCATGGTTACATGTATAGTATATGATCTTTCCATAATTGCTCTAATAAAATGAATGACGGCATCAGAAAACAACCCTTAATGTCACTTACTTTTTTAAATTGTCATAATGAATTCTTCAAGAAATTCAATTCTATAGCTCTTGAAATAATTTTAAAAAACTTTTGAAATTTGCTTATGGTTACCTATTCATATTTTATCTTTAACATTTCAAGGGTAATTCACATTTTTATTTGATGTTAACGTCTTTGACATTATAAATTGTAAAATTGATGTTAAGGGTAATTTTCTCATGCCTTTCATTCAAATTATTCTATAAATAATCTCCTATACCTGCTAGTGGCAACTGCCTCTATCTGTGCATCCAGTGCAGACCAAGATAAGCTGGCACATGGTGACCCATGCTGCCTTGTCATGGTCTGCACTGTTGGGTATTCAGTCTATACAAATTGTGAAGTTTTCCCCAAAAAGTTATGATTGGGTTAGTCCAGATTAAAAGATGGACTATTTCATTAAAAATATTTAGGGTGGTAAGGGTTTACACAAGTGAAGGAAAGCTTATTTTACCTTTATTATCACAGCATGATGTTGGTCAGTGCATAGTACAGCATCAGTAACTCAAACTGTATCTTTAAAGATGTTTGATAAAATCTAAGACTATTGATAACTCTACAGAAATATTCCTCAAGTGACCCTTTTAACAATTTTGCAAGATGCATAAGTGTACTGTCTTCTAAAGATTACTTTTAAGTGTGTATGTCACGTCAGTCCATGCATAATCATTTATTCAAGAACATCTGGGCTGTGTTCACCTCAGTAAATAAAATGCAATGAATCATTTGAAAGTGTGTGCCAGTTTTTTTAGGGGGATTTTTTTTTTAATTAATTTTTTTTTTGTAGAAAATCAGGTCAGTCATCAAAGATTGTTTATTGTCTTGTTTTACAGGTTTGAGAAAAGTGTACCCATATTATTACTCGTTTGGTAGTTTCATCAAGGGGAGGTGGATAGGAAAAACTGTAATGGAAGTTTATAAATCAGAATTTTATACGTCCGGAGTTGATCCTGTAAGTTGTATATCTATCTATATCAGTATAGAAATTATACATATTAGTAAATGCAGTGATATTTTTTATGACCCTAAAGGGTGGCATATAGTGTTTACATGGTTACAAATGCAGACATATCATATGTCATGATACAAAAAAAAATCGTAAAAGTGTATTTAAAGATTATAAGGTTAGTAGACCTGTGATCAGTGAGTTTTAGACAGTTGCATGACAAAGTTCATTCTTTGTTTGACATTTCTTAAGAATTTTAAAAACAATATATGGATTTCATTAGCCTAAAAGTTTGTTTAAGGGGTCTTGTTTTTGTTTGTAATGAAAGTTGTCTATGACTTAACACTATCAGGTTCTCTTTATTTAAAGGTAAAAGAGTTTGATAATGGAAATTTAACTGTGAATGGGAAGAAAGTTCCTGTAGACTTTGTTCTAAAAAATGGTATGAGGATGGAGCATAGATGTCACAGGTAAAAAATATGAGCCGTGTCATGACAAAACCAACATAATGGGTTTGCGACCAGCATGGATCCAGACCAGCCTGCGCATCTGCGCAGTCTGATCAGGATCCATGCTGTTCGCTGTCAGTTTCTCCACTTGTAATAGAGTTGATAAGCGAACAGCATGGATCCTGATCAGACTGCGCGGATGCGCAGGCTGGTCTGGATCCATGCTGGTCGCAAAACCATTATGTTGGTTTTGTCATGACGCGGCTCAATTATATACTTTATTATAAATACAACTTGTTTCTTCTCGGCTATTTAGTTTTGTTTACATTGTAGCAAACAATCATTTAGACACTGTTAGTATAATGTTTCAAAAGTATTCATAACAAATTTTTCATGCTGCACAAAATGCTTTCTTTGATAAAAATAGAAAAAAGGAACATTATTTTACTGCAACCATTGTTTGTTTGTTTGTTTGTTTGATTGGGTTTTACGTCACACTGACACAGTATAGGTCATATGGTGATGTTTCAGTTTTACTGATGGATGAAGACCTCAGTTACCTTTCTCTGCATTATTTTAGGCATGAACAGGCATCTGAGTAGAACCACAGTCCTTCTGTAAGCTAGCTAAATAGCTTTCTCACATGAAAGAATCCAAAGTCCCTGCGGGATTCAAACCAATAGCGGTGAGGTTCAAATGGTACTGCAGCCATTGTATATTGGTGTATAGATAATATTGATATCACATTGGTTCAATGAAAATCATTGTTTTAAAAAAAAACAGTATTATAAAATCATTATTGTAAGGACATTTATTGTACAAAGGTACATCTATAATTCATGAAACATTGCAGACATGAGATGCCAGTGTTAGACGTACCTATAGATATAATTGATGATACAGAAGAACTTGTTGTTGTCAATAAACCAGCCTCGATCCCGGTTCACCCGTGTGGTAGATACAGATACAACTCCATCACTATGCTGCTCAAATATGAATATGGATATGACAATCTCAGGAGTAGTTATCTTACTTTAACATTTTTACCTTCTTTATATTTATCTCTTGTAGTGATAATGGGAAGTCTTTTATTGTCAGTATAAAGTCTGGTCTGCACTGACCATGTTACCATCACCTTCACTACTAAAGCTTGTCTTTGCTACTGTAGTTGGGTCATTACTATAGGGTATCCAGATTGATTTTGAGGTCAAAGGTCATGGTAATAGGCAAAATAAACGAAAGCCAAATTTAATATTTATGATGACAGGATGTAAAAGTCATAATGATCATGCTAATAGAAGTTTATTTAGAATGACTTATTGAATAAATATTTCAAAACCGTCCATCATTCATTTAGAGAATCATACTGGTCCAGTTGTTAAGTCACTGACTCTTAATCTTCTGCCTTTAAATAAGATGGATCAGAATTTAACAAAGGAGCTTTTTGTATATTTTTGGTTTTAGGAGAATATTAGTGTTTGTAATACACAACAGTGGGTGGTTCTACATAGGTACCCACTTTAATGTAATGGATCAGGTCTGCTGTGACCACTATAAATGAAATGTCACAGAATGTCCTAGGCAGTATTGATTGCCTTAGCGGTGTTGATTGCCTTGGCAGTGTTTTTTGCCTTGGCAGTGTTGATATCCTTAGCAGTGTTGATTTTACAGAACATTACCTAAAGGACTTAAAAAACAAACGGAATAAAAGTAGTTATTATGATATATTTCAGATCTGTATAGGCTTGACAGACTTACCTCAGGGGTGTTGATATTTCCTAAAACCACATCGGTGTCAAAGAAATTAGAGAAACAGTTACAGGATAAAGAACTACACAAAGAATATGTCTGTAGAGTGGTAGGAAAATTTCCTGAGTAAGTTTTATATGCTTAGGATAATATTGTGTCACTTCAACATTTTTTTACGAATTTTTCTTATTTACAAAAAATATCGCCTTGCAAACCTTTTGTCCACTTTATAGACCACTGAGCCAAATTGAAACTTAGAGTAGGGTTTACTTTTGGTAGAATTGAAACTTAAGAGTTAGGTTATACTTTTTGGTAGAAATGAAAGTAAGAGTTGAAGTTTTACTTTCAGTTTAATTGAAACTGTTGTTGTAAAGAGTTTATTGATCTACAGAGGTTGTTCTGACGAGGTTGCACTCTAAAGAATATGAACCAAATTTTATATTTCACTTGGTTTCAAAGGGTGTGATCTATAGTGTCATTGTGTCACTGATATATAGAGGATATACTGCCACTCATGAAATATTCATTTTCATACTGCTCTATGTAAAAAAATCCCGTTTTTATAGAAAAAAACTTGAATATTTGTTTATTATATACATTTTTCTATTTTTTGACATTGCAATTTGAAAAGGTTTCCCTTAAATTTTGTGTATTGGCTGAATTTAGAAGGAAGTAGTATGGCAAGACACAAGTCAAAATACCAAAAATATGTTTCACTGCAGTGAAAAATAAATTGTGGCTGTGAAAATACAGAAAATGAAAAAATACATTTTATTTCATCAGTTTTTGTCCAAATTTCATTAAAAAGTATTTAATAAATGTATATATCTCATCCTAAAGAATGGAGATACAGAGAATTACCCTACTCAAGACGGTTTATTGTGTCTTCTTCTTTTTTTCAGTGGGGAAGTTGTATGTAATGAGCCTTTAGGCAGTATGTCTTTATCAATAGCTTTATGTAAAGTGGATCCAAATGGAAAGGAAAGTTCAACAACCTTTACAAGACTAAGTTATAACGGGAAAACAAGCGTTGTTAAATGTATGTACCTTGATCTAGTATTATGTCAAACTTTTAGAATTTAGAACTTTCGTTTTAATCAATGATATCTTTAAAAACTATATCAGATATTGTACAATAAGATAAAAAAATGTGCATGTGCTGTGTTGAAAAAATCTAAAAACATAAAATTTGAAATATTTACATAGATCAAGTGAAGGACTTAAAATGAAAAAATCTGCAAATGATAATAACGAAATATACTTGGAATGAAATTAAAAATCAATAGTTAGTGCAGTTATTTGTCAAATTTAAAGTTTAAGGATGGCAACACTTTATTTTGAGGTCATTATGCGCAATAAAAATTACTATTCTGGAAAAAAGGAGGATTGGAACAATCTGAAAATGATTCAGATCAATAAACTGGGAACAAGTCTTGGAATCTGAACTGGGACTTTGGATACTTCATGTGAGGAAGCTATCCAGCTGGCTTACAGAACGTTTGATGGTTCTACTCAGGTGCCCATTCCTGCCTGAAATAATGCACAGTAGGGCACCTGAGGTCTTCCTCCAACAGTAAAGCTGGAAAGTGGCCATATGAA